AATATTTTAAAATATTCATATGTTTCATTCAATCGATATTGATATTTTATTATTTAATTTTGTATATTACCTGACAAAATATTGTTTATGAGTTTTACATCACAGTACCAAATAATATTTATTATTTACAAATAAGATAAATAAAAGCTCACAAATTGTGTGTAGGTAATTGGAAATAAAAAATAAATTGTTTAGATGGATGTCAAAAAACTTATACAATATAAAAACGTTAGATGGGGAGTGTTAAAAAGTACTTATCATATGAAACTTGATATAGGTAGCTAACTTTTTAGGCTATGGTTTGTTTTGAATTCTTTAGTTTGATTGGGAATTTCTCAGGACTCACCTGGGGCAGCAGCTCCCGCTTGGTGTCCTGTGAGTCCCAAAACCGCCGCCGGCGAGGCCCCGCCGGCATTGGCATTCATTCCGGCGGCGGCGGCGATGTTATGCGGCAAAAATGCGGCAGCGACGGCCGCTTGGGCGTTAAAATAGGCCATCCGACTGGCTGCCATAGTCATATGGTGGTGGTTGAATCCGTGTTCCGACGGGAAGCACGTAGGCGCTTGCAAGTGTCTTTGCGGGTACACATTGGGGGTGATGGCCGAGACCGCCGCCGTGGGTGACCTGTGCTGGGAGTCGCTGAGACCCAGCAACTCCTGGATGGCGAACGGCGACCTCTGCGGCATCGTCTGCGAGGGCTTGTTGAGGATACTAGGCGCCGTCACGTGAATCGTGTTCTCTAAACTATCATTGTTCATTTTTCGCGAATTTTTCTTGCATATCACGCACTCTACATCACCCGACACATTTTGGCGCGCTTTTTGGGGTTTTCAGGTGCAGCATGGACCGTTCATGGTCAGATGTGGGAACAAACTGACGACTCCAATTTGAAAAACGACTACTGCGGGTTCCCTAACAAAGATACTCCCTAATATTCAGCTGAAAAGGACCCCTTAAGGGGGGCGGAGTCTGCGATCTACCAATAAACCACCTGAAAAGCGAGCGCGTATTGGCATCAAAGTGAAACGGGATCTTGGCTCTTTTGTGGCGGGACGAAAGAGACGACTTTGGGTTGGCATTAGAGCCAATAAGGCGGAGTTAACTCCAGGATTGTTTTCAATGTGGGAGCTTTAACGTATATGGGTTTAAAGGTTAAATTGGGTTGGCACGTGATACAATTAATGTCAAACAATTTACATGCTTAATTAGTAAAGATGTGTTCAATTATGATAATTGAAAGCGATTAATTGGCTGTGACTAATCCGGACCTTGTTTCATGGCATGACGTAAAATTGGGTTTTAATCAACTAATTCATATTAATAATTACATACTTGTTTCATTAATTCAAAAAGTTTTGGCAGGTTGTTAAATTTAAATTAATAAATTGAACACTAAATTTCTAAACATTCCACATACATCACAATTTAACATAACATAAGAGAAACAGCAGTAAAACTTAAAAAATACAACAATAACGTGCTTTTTAAAATATATAGCTAATTGGAAATAACACATTAGAAAATAAAACTGTTTAGGTAGGTAAAAAAAATATTTTGGTACTATAGGTATTTTTATAAATAGGATATGATGCTTATTTAGCACCTATATCGCGTGTGTCAAAAAGGTCCAAACGTGAGATACGTCGTCATATACACGTTACACGATATGAAAGAGTTCTACTGTGTGGTCTTATTACTTTTCAGAGAACCTTTTTTATCATTATAAAAATTACAATACTTAGGTATCGGAGTTGGTCAATTCGACCACCAATATCTACAGGAAGTTTGAGATTGATAAGTTTTGGTATTTATGATTTAGATAAACAATAAGAGAGAGGTAGTTTAAAATAGTGGTCAAATTTAACTTGGAACATTCTATTACAGTCACATTTTAGACTTTTAGTTTGCTTTGACGGAAGCGGTTTGTTATTAGCAATAATGTCAAATCAAGAAGCGCAAAGTAGAAAAAATGTTGAAAATAAAGTAAATTATGTTAATCAAAAAATTCATGAATATAATGTGAAAACAATATCTAGATTTACATTTGTTAAATCAGTATGTAGCAATGATTTGCCAAATTCATTTAAATTAAATAAAATAAAAGTGTTTTAGTTTACATTTACTTGATATTTTCTTTATTTTATCCTCCCCAAGGTCCAGATTTAAACTTTCTGTTTATTACCGGATTTTAATCTTTGCTAATTTTATCTATCTCCTTTATTAAGTTAATCCTTTGGATTTAATATCGTGGTCGAACTGACCGGTAGGATTTACAGACACCCTACTGGCGTGGTCGAATTGGACATACGCTCCTTAGGTATAGTGTTCAAAGACACATTGTTGCTGTAGATTGTAAAAACTTAAAACTTTGAAATAATAAATTAAATAATCTGGTGCGTTGTATTAATTAACTAATAATTAATTAATTAGTGTTTTTACACGATTTTTTATATAATTCGAAATTGAAGAAAGATTGGATTAGTTTTTTTTTCAGTGATGTAACTCATATTCAACCTTGTTCGACCTACCCATTATACCTACTATTATAAACTGATAGCTATTTGGTATTTCATATTTTATACTTTTTAATTATGTAATTGGCTTCGACAAAAACGCTAGTTATAAACTAGATTTTTAAAATGTGTCTATAAGTCACCCGAAATCAAAATTATTCACAAGTAAATGATAATAAAATTTTAATCAATCAACAATTGATTTATTACTTAATTACTAATACGATTATTTCTGCATAGTAATCTTCTTTGAATCTTGTTTATTTATTTTTATCATGAATTAAACATGCGGTATATAGGCGTTATTATAATATTGGCCACTCCATGCGACAATAAAGTTTTTTTATCACTTGTATGATTACTAAAATCTTACAATACGTATTTTTCAAAAGGTGTTGAATATAGAGTATTTATTAAACAAAATAAAATTGAATTAAGTATTACAACACACTACAAGTAAATAAATTTTTGCTTAATGCATTAATCAATTTGTTATAAAATCCCGATATGTCCTTAAGTGTCAAAATCAAAAAGTGTTATTATCAAAATAGAGACGACCTCTTTTATATAAATTTATGTAAAACAAAAAAAAACATTTTAGGTATACTCGTATGTATTAATTGGGACAAAAACATAGATAGATAGAGATAAACATATCTCATTTTCTATGTTTGCAGAAGAATTTCTCTAAGAAATTAACATTTTCATATATGAACTTGTTCATATTTATTAAATTAATAGTTTAATTTGTAAGTTGTACCTGCATTTAAAAACATTAAAAAATATTTATTTAAAATTTGATAGAATTACATTAATTACATTTAAATTACATTAAAAAATATTCTAAAACGCAATTTTTTTTATTTTTATTTAACACAAACCTTTCACAATTCCAAGATGCAATAATTTTTCTTACATTTTTTTTATTTATTTTTATGTTTTCTATATTTTTTTAAGAAACAATTTTTTAAGGTTTTTTTTAAAATAAAAAGCAGATTTTTTAAATTTAAAGCATTTGGCTACTTACCATTACTTTAATAATGTTAAAGAAAAATATTTAGTTTTATAGTTTAGTTTAAAAGAGTCAAGTATAATAACTACAAAAGGTAACTAATTATAATTACTAATAAAATTATTCACTGACAAATGTATAACTGTAATCTTTTGATAGAAAGTCAGTCGCTCTCAATGAAATTTATTGAAATTTAATAAAATACGTCTAACAAAGATTTTACTTGTGTATTAAAATTGTTTAAATCCCGTTTCAATACAGAATATGGTAACGTCTCAACTGTACTTTTTGAGATCAAAGATGAAGTCAGAATAAGGTCACTAAACTTCAGAAAATTCAAAATCGGGACATTATTAAAAATAATTATAACTTTATGTGTTGTAGAACACAAAATAAAAAATTAAATAGCTCCTATCAATGTAACTGTATAGAAATTTAAATATAATAAGAATGCCTAAAGGATGCAAAATATTTAATAACATATTAAAAAAATATATATTAATTCATTGTTTTGTGCTAATTTCTTTTTTTATGTTTGATTTTTTTTAAGTCCCTTCATTCTGTGCAAACATTATTTTTTATTTTATACAAGCCAAATTAATATTTCATTTAGTTATTATGAGCGATTTTTAAGAGTTTCTACTTTCAGTAAGTTGAGTTTTTTTGTAATGATCACATTTAAAATGACGTGCAAAAGAATTTTTTTTATTTAAAGACACTTTGTTTTTGCTGCAAATGAAAATCTCAAAAAAGTGCACACTTTCAATCAGGAGATAAACATAGTGCCAAATTAAGAGCTAAAAAACAAACTATTCATAAGAGCGAAAAAAATACTTATGATATTATGTCAAAGGTTTGAAGTAAACGAAATACTTACGACTTATAAAGCAATAAAGTTTGGAAAAAAATATTATAATAATAATTATTTATAATTTAATTTACAATATAATTTATTATTATAATAATTATAATTGTTATTTTTTGATAACTGAGAAAACTGATGATTGTTTACTAATTTTGAAATGAGAAATACCTTTCTTTTTTTATATACCAAAATAAATAATTTTTATATTATTTACAGCAAATAACACGAAAACAAATTGCAATACTAACAGAGCTAATGGAACAAATTAAACAAAAGTTTTTATTTAGCACACTCAAATCGACTATAAAATTAGCTATTTTCATATTGTTAACTGTTGCAAAGTGAAATTTATAGATATCATTACTGCGCGCTCGCGACGTTAGTTAATCTCAACTATTTTAAACTTTTTTTTAATTAGATTTCCTGGCGAAATATTTGTCCAATAGTGAATCTAAACTGGTAAAACATTTATTTTCACGTTACATTACGCAACCTTAATTTGAAATATACGCGCGCCCTTTTATGAAAATTATGTCGTTCTTGCACGCCATGACCTCACATAAAAGTCAGTATCAACCATCTTTGAAAACTCACCCTTCCCATACTTCATCTCTATTCAAATAAAGCACTTTTCAAATCAGCAAATAAAAACAAGAGCTTGTGGGCTGGGATAATTAAAAATTCTCCCAGCACTAGGCCATCCTGAATTTTCATTGGAAGTTTTTTCTTCATGACCTTTTGCTTCCTTGTTGCCCGACTACATACTTAAGCAAATTGCAACACTTGCATCCAAAGAGCAACAATTCTTATAAAATTAATTTAAGTATGTTTTAACCGGATTTTAAAGATTTGCTGACTTGTTTCGGATATAAATTTCTAAATAAGTAAATAAAGTGATGCGGATTTAAGATGCATCCGACCGAACTCGATCTAATCACACAAAATGTCATATTAATTTAAATTTAGTATTCAAGGCATCTTGAGAAATTTGCTGAGTCGAATTTGCTTTGAAAATAATTTGTATTTATGTCGGAGCCTTCCCGGGCTTAATCCTCGCTTTGTAAACTTCCAAGAGATAGCAAGATTATATTTATTAAGAAACGATGTAAAGATCTTATTACTCTTAAAAAACTTATATTTTCAATTACACACGAGGCTTTCATTAAAAATTGCACAACTTTGGCCATTCAGAAAAAATAATAGGCGTACTATTGAATTTCACGTTTTCTAATTTCGCACAAAACCTACGTCAATCCGACCGGTGACAGGTCATGAATTCTTTCTTGGTTTTCTTGTACTTTCCCTCATTGTTATAGCCAAATTGAGTCGACGAATCAGTTAACCATGTGGACGTATTCAATATCAATCGATCATCGATGCAGGAAGTTGCTTTTATTCTCAAGACCCTAAA